TTCTTCTTCTTTTTTTTTTTTTTAATCAATCCAGACTCCTCTCCATTGGTTCTAAAGCCTGTAGCAGGGAAGCTACGAGGTGGGCCTCCAGAGCAGTTCACTAGACAGCAGGCAGGAGAGAGGAGCTTAGTCCAGGAAGGCCAGGTCAGAGGCTCATGAGGCCAGAAAGGACCTACATAATATCTAATGCCTTAATTTGCTAGAAAAGGAAACAGAGGGTCAGAGAGGTGAAGTCAAAATAAAAGTAAATGTCAGCAATCATATTGCAACATAAGACTCCTCAAAGGCCAGGTAAAACACAAAACCTAGCCAACACAAAACCCTTTCTACATAACCAGTGGGATATGAAATGTGGCTCCAATATTGTAGGACAAGAGTCCCTGAAGTATTTTGAAGATACACAGACCTGCTAAGACGCATGCTATCTCAATTCACAATGTTTCATTCTGAAACCCGGGCTAGGCAGAGAAAGGTACCAAAAACCAAAACAAACCAAAAAACCCATAGCTGCTTCTGCGTGGAAAGAGATTAAGACTTATTTGGAGAGAATAATCACTGAGCATATAAATTACAGTATGATGCAATAATGACGAATAGCAAGATAAGAGGTTTATGTAACAAATGCTACAGCCATTCAGAGGGAGAGATGATTAGAGCTGAGGTTCAGAGAACGAAGGGCATGTCTTCCTTCCCAGCAGTGTCTCCACATTCCTCTCTCTCTAAAGCAATGCCTGTCTTCTCTTTATCTACAAGGATTCTGGGAAGATATAGTCAATAGAAAGATACAGCCTTGAAGGAGAGCTCCCAGTATTACAATCACAAATGAAGGTAGAAGCCAATTACTGTCTACTCCAAAAACCCCAACTCTACACTGTGGAAAACAAGTTCTTTCAACTTCATAACCTGGATAATGAGTAAAGTGATAATCCTTGAATTATGTAACTTTCAAGGAAAACAAAACGAGAGTCAATGTTATTTCCCAATAGCAAAGGCTTAAAAGGCCTAATTACTCTTAGTTTTTGTACCTAACCCCTTTTTAAGACTGGTATAATCACAAAATAGTTTAAAAAGATATAAAAAACATATTTTCCAATTTCTAAAAAATTGTTAACTAGATTTTTCAATATCTCAACTAAAAAATTTCTACTATCTAGGTCCCTAAGGATGTAACTGAGACTGTATTATCACTTGTACTTTAATATTTTTTAGAGAAAAGAAAAGATTTCACTGAAAATTTATTTAATGTAAACAATGACTAAAATGATTTGGTGAAAAACATTCTGAAGCAATTTTGCAATGGAAATAAGCAACAAAAGAGGGGGGGCATCGCGGGGGGGGGGGGAGATCCTTTTAAAAGCACCCCAAAAGTGAATAAAAGGCAGTTGGGGGACTGATTTATCCCACAGATATTAATCTGATGCTGAGAATTTCTGTCTCAGTTGATACCCTTACAAACAGATACCACTGGTCTAGGGAGGTAAGCAGCCTTGTCCAAATATGTAAGTAGCAGAGCTTGGTCAGAACCAGTTGTCTTGAGTTCAGGGCCCTTGGCTCTGTTCAGGACCTCATGCTGTTACTTAGGTTTGGGAATATGTGGTTTCCTATAGCTCTTCAATTAAACTTGAAACTTGCTTGTGAAAGGGAACTCATAGTATGTCCAGCGATATTTTGGTCTCTAAAAGCCCCAAACAAGTGGGCACTGGTGAGCTGTACTCAGGGAACTCGGGGTCCCTTTTAAAGCATGTGTAGCTTTGTGGTATTTGAACTGAAGGGTGAACTGCTTAAATTGAAGGCATCATGTTCATGGTAAACGGCTGTGTTTCTGGATCCAGCATAACATCAGGGACATAAAGTATACTGGATCGAAAACAAAAACTTACAAACGAAACACTAGGACTAGCATGATCATTTCTGTTCCAAGATGATGCAACAATCATAACTGCACACATGCATAACTTTGGAAAATCCAAATCAGAAACTTGTAAGTTTTAAGTCAACAAAGAAAATCAACAGAGATTTAAGTTTATGCTAACAAATGTGGGATAAGGAATAAAAATACTAATAATACTTACAAATATTATTAGAGAGGAAGGAAATGGCAAGTAAGTAGACATAAATCAAAAGGAAATAAAAAGCTGTCATTGGGGCCTTTAATCTTCTCATTATGCAATTCACTTTAGCATAGCAACCTTTGTGCTACTCCCACCATCTAAAAAATTTCTTTAGCTAAACTCAGAGTATCCAAAAGCCTGATTATAGCGCTTCCAAGTACATAAATTAACATCAACAACGCCACAAAAATAAAACACTTGTGCATCCATCCATCTTTTCAGCGATTATACCAAGTGAAAGCAGCCCAATCTTTACCATGACTAGACCCACAAAAAATGCCTAAAATGACGTTTTATGGTCAATTTTTCTCTTTCTTCATGAATAATTTTTTTCAAAAGCAATTTAAATCAAATGTATACAGTTTTATCAAGTTCACTATTCCAGAAAAAAATCTGTTTATAGTTTATAGCTCCAGTGTGACTGTGAACATTTTAGGGTAGCACAGGGTTGTCTCAGCAGTAAGTTGATGAAACCTAAAACTGGGTTTTCTAACTAAGTTTAGGATATTTCCACTGAACCACAGAAGATGGTCAAAAAAGAAAAGCCAGCCTTCCTCCGTACCTGTCCACAGACCAACCTCATTTCCCCAGGCATCCACAGATGTGAGCCTGAGAGAATGGTGGCATCCAATCAAGCTACCCTCACTACTGAAAAAGCAAAGTAAGGAGCAGACCCCACTGCTGGTGGAGACATGACTTCTACATCCTGAAAACAGCCTGTATTCAGATCTACTAACTCTGGATATAGGCTCCTTCATTGCTCCAAGCAATGAGCCTACTCAGAGTAGCTAAAGCTCTGGGCTACACAAAAGGGAACTGGTTATTTTGGTGTAGTAGAAAGAGTACACCAACATTCTTGATAAGTCCTGCACTCTTGGGTCTATATTCCAGCTCTCTAACTGACTCCCTTTGTGAACCTCAGTTTCCTCACCAGGAAAACGTGATAACACCTCTTTCAGAATCACTGTAAGCAAAATGTCTAGTTTTGGAAACAAAATGTCCGTCTAGTTTATTAAAATCATTTTTATGTGTATGTGTTGGGGGGAGGTGGTTCTGATAATATTTAGGTTTAATATTCCAGATTTAATCTTACTGCTCAAAGTGTGATCTACAGACCAGAAGCATCAGCATTCCCTGGAAGTTTGTTTGAAAGACAGGCTCTCAGATCCCACCCCAATTCTACTGAGCCAGATTCCCAAGTCATATATTTATATATCTATAAGTTTGAGAAACACTATTCTATAATACACATGAACATTCAATAAACCAGAGCCTCCTGACACTCTAAGGAATTTATTGTGGCGACTTGTGCTAGTGGTGGGGCTATGAATCCTTTTCAGGTAGAAAGCAACTAGCGACCCAGACCTTCTCACTGGAAGGATGGGATGATGGTATGCTCCTTACTTTGTGCCTTTTGAGTTTAAAAAACAATATATTAAGTACACTGGATTTCAGTTAATATTTAAATCTATATTAATGCAATCCTTGTTATATGTAATAAGTGCCTGGAACATAATTAGTAATATGAGCCTTCTGACTATAAATGAACAAATAACAGTTAGGAAGGATACCTTCAACATAGTAATTTCTGGTTTCTAGGATGCAACACATAACAGATTGATTAGTAAGAAGGTTCTACAAACCGAATGTTCTCAACACAGGATGACAAAGTTCTAAAGCCTACACTGTGCCTCTCTGTGCATGTGCCTTTTCCCTCCCATCAACTTTCTGAAACACTTTTCAGTTCTTTCCAGTTACATGTGAAAGTACAAGTTTTAAATGCTCCTGAAAGTAAAATTATGACTCAAATTCCTAAAATGAATCACCAAATGCTGGATAGGGAGGTAGTAACTTTGTGTCTCAGGAAACAAAACCCAATCTGAGTGAGTCATCTCTGTGATCACAGATAACATAGCCACTGCCAGGGCTTGGCGAAAACAAATGGCGATAGCAACCACATGTCAGAATCTTGTGTTTAATGGTTTCTCACATTAAAATGCATCAGTCAGCTCTGTGAAACCAGGAAGTGGAACGCAGGACACCACATAATAACAAAAACACTCCCGTGAGTTTGGTATATTTTATCCTTCTGCTCTAAGACCATTTCAGTTTTTGGAAAATAACTTAAATAAGTGAAGGTGATGTTTTGTCAAGAGATAAGTATAAAGGAATAAGCTAACTATTATGACAGGTTCTGAAATATTTAATAAGAAAATCTCAATACTTTTTAGAGGCCTAGTTACTGAGGCTGTTGATCCAAAATGAAAAAGTTGGCAGATGACTCAAAAAATGTAACAGAGGAAGTGGCAACAGGCTCTAGAAGCAGAAAAGCCTGCTATCTTGTGACTCCATGCACAATCTGTATGCATGGCTCTTTCTCAGATACTCTAAACTTGAAAGAAAGGACGAGTGCATAGTAAACTCATGTTACACGACATTGCCATCTAGATGCTCCTCCTTGCACCCACTAGGAAACTGCTCCATAGTGAAGAGCCAGAGGTCCTCTTGAAGCCCTGGAGAGGGGACATATGCCAGGACCAAGCCTGCCCCATGTTGGCCAGGCTCAACACAGAAATAATGCAGCAGCCAGGCTATGCTTTTCAAAAGGGGGCAACCTCCTATCAACACCACACACCCACTGGCAGGTGGACTCCAAGGAGATATTATTTAACCAGTAGATGTAAGCTCCCACACCCACAATATAAGCACTGTCCTCTGAAATACTAGAGACCAGATGGGGGCAATGGCAATACTCCCTGTTCTCTTCCTTCACTAGACGCCCCCCCTCCAAGTTAAAAAAAATCTGTAATTTCTGAAATAAGAACAAGATAAAATGCCCCCATTAAGCCCCTACGGCCACCCCCATTGTTTCCACAAAACATCCACTACCTCATAATGAAGGGGATAAAAGGTGCCATGCTGAGTGCAGAACAGGTGCCGTCCATCGGGGAAGGGTAGAGTCGCCCCAACACCAACAGTAAGAGAAACATGCTGGGCTGACGGTTTAGTTCTCCTATGTCACTGAAAAAAAATCATTGCACATAAAAGATTTAAAATTTAAGAGGCACTATCTTCAACTATTTTTCTCATTAAATAATTATGTATATAAAGTGAGACTCTCTATGATTAAGGGATAGTTTTCCTTTTTCCATCCTCCCACCTCCCCCCCATTCATATAATCTATTCCTAATGTGTAAATGAGGAAGAAGTGCCAAAGCCATGGATTGGGCTTTTGCACCCGATTCTCTTCTCAAAACTAATTATTTAATAATTCAAGTCTGCTGTTTTTATTCAACCTGTTCATACAGGACAGGTATCTGTTCCAGAGAATGAAATGTGAAATTTTCAACATCCAAATGTACTTAAGAAAACATGAACAGTCACTTACTAGGGCCAGAAAAGCCCGTCTGCACAAGTTACTAATGAGGAAATGCATCATAAACAGAAGTAAAATTCATTGATGTTATTTTATTTTCCCATTACAGACAACTAGTACAAATTCATACCAAGTGCTAGAAGAATGAAAAAGATGCCCATACTAAAAATTCCACCATCAGCTACAGAATGTGATTGGAAGGACAATGGTGAAGTTCTCCATCTGCCTTGATTAGCCTGGAAACCCTCTTTATGGCTTTGTGTTTCCAGGGTCACTGGCCATCTTTGTTCAGGTACACCAGAACCATTTCTAATCATAGTGACCAGGTTAGTCCGCTAACTGCTGTAGTTTCACAATATCAGCCATAACAGGCCAGCAATAAAAAAAAGACAGGTGTGCATTAAAGTAAACTCAATATGTAGACACACACATTTTTAAGTAATTTAGGAAGAAAATGGTTCTTAACAGAAGAAATCACCATGTGCTTCTAGGAAGCTAGTTCCTTTATAACACTGGAAACAGGATTTTAAAACTATAATATCAAAATGGCATTTTATACAACTTTTCATGTATAAATCTACCAAAGAGACTCAGGCAACATCTATATATATAAAAGCCCAGCGATCGGAATGGTGGAACAACCGGAATGACCAGTGGCTATGACACGCACTGCAGCAGCCAACCGGTCTTATCTGGGCCCCAATCGGGACCCGCATCCCGATTGGGGGCAGGGCCCGCTGGCTAACCTCTTGCAGCCCCTCCCCCCTGCTGGCCGGGCCTGATAGACTCCCATCGGGGTGAGCCGGCCAGACCCCACCAGTGCACGAATTCGTGCACTGGGCCTCTAGTGATGTAATAAAGAAGCACTTTTTAAAAATCCATCTAAGTTACAAGGAAGAAGTTGATTGAAAACTGTTGCCTGGAGGGAAAAATCTCCCTTTATTCACATCTTGATTTTACTTCGCCCCACCCTATTCTTGCCTTACCTGTCCACAGTATTGGATACAGCTTCTAACTGCTTGAGAAGAAAAGGGTAGAGTTCCGGGAAACGAGAAAAAAATTCACTCCCTGTCATTCTATGGAGAGAGAAAAAGAGAGGAATTACTATCATTATTTCCTCTAATTTAATAATAAAGCCTCTTTATTTTTTTAAAGAGAGATAATTAAGATTATTTATTTAGATATTCACTTATTTTTAATATATTTTTATTGAATTTATTGGGGTTACATTGAATAATTAAATAGTTTTCAAGTATGCAAGTCTGTAATGCATCATCTCTATATTGTATTGTAGGTGCACCACCCATAGTCTAATCTCCTTTTGTCGCCATTTATTCCCCCTTACCCTCCTGTACTTACCCCAACCTCCTTCCCTCTGGTAATCACATTCCGTCCTTAGATATTCAATGAAATAATGTTAAAAACAAAACCTACATATGAAGAATCTAATAATCAGTAGAAACAATACATTTAACTTTGATTTGGGAAGTGCTCTTAATATGTGGAAATTGATCTCAAAATTTAAGATTATGTATATTTACAAATATTTGATATTAAATTCTGTCAGGGATAAGCACATCATTTGTAAAAATTCCAAGTTTCCAACAATTAATTTGGGTTATGAATGCAGTCAACACCTGGTTGACTGAGATTGATTCAGTTTCACTAATAAAGGGAAGGTCTAGAACAAGGTTTCTCAATGACCAGATAATTCTTTGTTGTAGGGGGCTGTCCTAGGCACTGCAGAATGTTGAGCAGCCTTCAAAACATCTATCCCTTAGATGCCAATAGTAATAACACTGTCTCCCAGCAAAGATAGTAGAAAATGTCTCTGGCCATTGCCAGATGCACCTTGAGGGGGAAAAGTCTCCAGCTGAGACCCTTTGTCTGGAGTATGGTTATCAGAAGTATGAATTTGGTGTGTGAAGTTCTGAGGGTCCAATCCCAGCAAACACCTGTGAGGACTACCTTTTTCATCTTTAGTAACACTACTCTTAAATTCTGACAAGATCCTGAAAATAGCTCAAACTAAATACAGCATTTAGTTAAATACGCCATCTCCATAACTATTAAAAAACTACTCTGAAGGGGTGGTATAAATATTCCCTAACTTGCCCCCTCTTATCAACTCTAGATGTATGCTCCTACTAATGGAGACACAAAACATCATATTTTTTTAAAATTGCAGTGTATGTTACACATAGTGAAATGTTCAAATCTTAAGTGTAACATTCAATTCGTTTTCACAAATGCATACACTCATGTAATTCAGACCTCTATGAACACTCAGAAAATTTCTATCATCTCAGAAAGTTCCCTTGTGCCCCTTCCCAGTCAACGCCCAATCCTCAAATCAATCATGATTTGATTTCTATCATCATAATTTGGTTTTGTCTATTCTAGAATTTCATATAAATGTAGTAATACATTACATAACTTTTTGTGTCTGGCTTTTTTCATTCGACATAAAGTTTATGAGATTCATCCATGTTATTCGCTGTACTAATAGTCTGATTCTGTGTTTGCTGAGTAGTATTCCATTACATGAATATACAAATTTGTTTACCTATCCTCCTGACAGACATGGATTGTTTCCACTTCCTGACTATTATGAATAAAGCTGCTATGAACTTTCCTCTATAGGTGTTTTTGTGGACATATATTTTCATTTTTCTTAGATAAGCACCTGAGAATAAAATTGCAGTCTGTTTAATATTTTAGGAAACTGGCAGTTTTCCAAAATAATAACGATAGCATTTCATACTCACAACAACAAAAAGAGTTTTAGTGTCTCTGCGTATTTTTCTAACATTTGCTACTGTCTTTCTTTTTTCCATTTTAGCCATCCTAGTGGATATGGAGTGGTAACGCTCTGTGATTTTGATTTGCATTTCTTTGATGATTAATGATGTTAAACATATTTCATGTGCTTTGGTCATTGGTATTGCCTTTTGTGAAGTACCTATTCAAGATTTCTGCCCACTTTTAAATTACATTGCTTGTTTCTTTGCTATTTATGCATTGCATGGACTTTTCCCTAGTCTGTGGTTTGCCAATTTATTTCCTTAATATATTTTGATGAACAGAAGTTTTAAAATATTAATGAAGTCCAAATTGGATCAATTTATTTATTTTATGATTCATGCTTTCCATAGCCAAAGAAATCTTTGCCTTCTGAATATCACAAAGATATTGTTTTCATATACAAGTTTAATAGCTTTATGTTGAGGTCTATAATCCATTTAAATATGGTGTGAGGGAGAGTTCAAGGTTCTTTTTTTCTACATTAGTGTATCATATTTTTAATAGAGAGATGCCATAAAAAAAGACATCAGTCTTAAGTAGGAGAGATTATATTATAAAGTTGAATTTCTCCCCAAATTCAATGCAATTCCAATAAAAATTATAATAGTGTGTGTGTGTCTGTGTGTGTGAAACCAGATTCTAAAATATATAAAGATGCACAAAGGGCCAAGCAAGAGTGGCAAAGATAACCTTAAAGAACAACAAAGTTGCAGGTCTCATACAATCAAGTAGCTAGAATAGAACTTTAGTAGTAATTAGAACACCGTGGTGACAAATAGGCCAATGAAATAAAATAGAGATCATAGCAACACACCTACATACACACATATATGAAAATTGATTTATGAAAGACCTGGCATGCAGATGCTAGTACTATGAAAACCATACATGCTATAACTAATTAGCCACACAAAATTAAAATTGGATCCCAACCTGCAACAATACACAAAATTAAATTCTAGTGAATTCAAGACTTAGAAGTAAAAATTAAAATTTCTAAATTCCTTAAAAGACAATAGAGAATAGAATTTATTGAACAAAACCCAAAAAGCATCAACTAGTAGGTGCATGGGACGATACTCAAACAACTGAGTCACCGGCCAGGGCTGAACATTTTAACTAATTGTTTTGTACTTAGTAGCTTGATTGGTTTTGACTACATCTTTTAAAAACATTTTGTTCAAGTTATTTTGTCCATACTTAATGCAGGAGGACCATGAAATACTCAATGTGCATTGTCAGGGTTTAAGTAAAACCAAAAATATTTTTTAAGGAGAATTTGACCTTATTCAGGTACACTGAAGACATAGGAGGTGCCTTTCTAGTCTAGCATTCTTAGCTCCACAATACTGTTAAGAAAATGTTGACTCAATTTCTGCTTCAGCTCTTAGGGATATGCAATATTAACAATTCTTGTGTATTATGAAACAGTTTCAAGAGGCAACGCCTATAGGAGGATGTCAGAATTATCTAAACGGAACTCAAACTTCACGCATACCTGATTCTCAACTACACCAAAGTTCTACAGCACCTTAAATCCAGATCTTACACTGCTAATATATTAATACCAGCCCTCAACTAACAATGTCTACATTTTATAGTTAAACTGAGTGAAAAATTACCACTTCAGTAGTCTCTCTATATGGAGGCAGTTCATAGGTTTGGGGCTGCCCTTATAGGTCTATAATCTAGGCCTTATTTTAAAAGGCCAAGGTCATGAAATCATTTTAGTCCATATTTGAATCTCCATCCTCTGAGTCCTGGGACATGTGAAGTTTTACCTCTCACTTGCTACTTAATAAAAACTGTAGTGTAAGCATATTTCTCTCAAGAAAGTAGCAAATATATTTAAAAAGTACCTACATACTTCATGTTGGGTACTGTGCTAGGTCCTATGGGAGATAGTAACAATATGACATAGTCACTGCTCTTAGAGCTTAAAATCTAGTTAGGAAGACAAGGCATATACACCCTATATAATAAAACCTAATATGCTAAGTATCCAGTCGACCACTTGGCCGTTCAACCAATCAAAAAATAATATGCTAATGATATGCTAAGGCCACTCAACCACTCAGTATGATGTGCACTGACCACTAGGGGGCAGACACTCCAACCAGTAGGTTAGCTTGCTGCTGGAATCCAGCCTATTGGGACTGAGCGAGATGGGCCAGACACGCCCTGGAGCCCTCCCGCAGTCCCTCCCGGCTGGCCAACCTCCCATGTCCCTCCCCAGTCCCAATCATGCACCAGTGGGGTCCCTCAGCTTGGCCTGCGCCCTCTCACAATCCAGGACCCCTCACGGGATGTCAGAGAGCTGGTTTCAGCCCAATCCTGCAGGCCAGACTGAGGGACCCCACTGGTGCATGAATTCGTGCACTAGGCCTCTAGTTCAATATAACCAATAATGTAAGGCAAACCAGTGTAAGGGTCAAATGAATAATCAGACAATAAGAGGCTAATATGCAAATTTTCCCCTTGACTGGGAGTTCGACTGGGATTTCAACCAGGAGTTTGACCAGGGTACGGGCCGGCCAGCCAACCACCCATGGCCCCTCTCCCCGGCAGCCTGGCCCCCGGGAGGCCCCCTTCCACCCCGATCAGGGCCTGCTGGCCAGACCCCACCCATGCGCAAATTCATGCACAGGGCCTTTAGTGCTTATAATAAAAGTACAGAGTTGGAAAAGATCACTTGGGGCTGAAGAGATTAGGGAAAGTTCTGTGGGAAACATGGAAACCAAGATGAGTCTGGAAAAACTGGTAAGAGTAGATTAAAAAGGAGAAGACAGCATAGAGGGAGTGGGCAGGTATAGGAACAAGTGGGTAGATTAGCTGGCTGGATGAAAAGAAGACTTCATAACAAGAGTAGAACAGGTAGGATGGCATATAATTTTTTAGAAATTTGAATGCCATACTAAGCAGACTTATCTGTGTCTTACAGGCATTGAAAGTTTCTGAACAGAAAAGAGATGTGACAAGAGCAGACAGACTAGACTAGGGAGTAGAAACATAGTGATCCAATGGACATTCACTAAATGTGTACCTGTTAACCTCAACTAGAGCATAAATATCTATGGGTAAGGGACCATAGCTATACTTCCTTACATCTCTCCTGATACACAGCACAATACTATGTAAATGTCCACTGACTGGTAAAAAAAATTTTCTTCTCTGGTAAATATTGGTAAATAATATTAGCCGGGGGTGGGGGTGGGGGAGGGGGGATCTAATATAGTTAACCTCAAAACTATGCCTTATGCCTTTTTTCTTC